ACTAAGGCTGAAAAGTTGATGACTTATTTTTTGCTGTGAATTTTAGCCATGATCGGGGTGCCCCTCACATTGGTCAGAATGCTGACATCATAGAGACATCCCTGAGATCGAAATTCATATCTTAGATATCGCCGATACATTTTAAATAATTATTGAACCAAAAATCCCCGTATCCAAGTTTTCCCAAGGGCATCTCAGTGCTATTATTATAATGCTTTTTCATTCAGCCACTTATTCCATGAATTCCTTATCCAACAGTACCCTGGTCCCCTGTAAAGTAAAAAATCTGGGAAATACCGAAGTTTCAGTAAGAAAGAAAATAAGAAGGGTACAGTGAAGAAGTAGTTTGGTCGTACTATTTTTAAATGGCATAACTTTTAACAGTGCTGCAAGGACCAGGAAGGGCAACTGCACTTTGTGGCTGAAGTTGAACACATGCCACATTTCAGATTACATTTCCGCTTATACCATTAAACTCAATTATATTTTAGTGTGTGCTGATTTTATTTAAAACATTCTGGAAAAATCATTTTGCCAAGTGCCACTCCTGTCCTCTTTCTTCCTTCAACACGGAGTGTTCAGGATGCATTTAGACAGGTAGCACCATTTGATAGGTTGCAGTAGAATTTACTGTGTAACTGTTTAGCTTGTACTAGACTTGCATTTTAAACTCTGTGTCACACAACAGAAAGTGTACCTACAGCCGCCATGGAATTAAGCTGATCGATGTAGAACTCGGGCCAACTTGTAGCTCCCTTGTTTTCTTCTTGGTCCTAAGAAGGAAAAAAAAGAGTGACTTAACACCAAATGCATAGACACAGCAGCCAGCACACTGACGTCCAGGGCTCCTAGACTATGGCCACATGAGCCATGACAGGACACTGAGAGGGGAGATATTTGTTTTTAAATGTTGGCTTGAAGTCACCAGAATGTCCACTTGACTAGGGTGGCCTTCTCAGTCCCCTTTCCACAGAGGACATTGAAGTCTGGGTTAGGTGGTACAGGCAAGTTTAAATGGAAACTCAGCCACACTGTGGCACAGGGCTGTTTCCCCAGGGGCACAAGGATCCTGGGAAGGGCACTGGAGACAGCGGTCCTGCCAGGTGACATGCCTGCCTTGGCATGGCCACCTGACTCAGCCATGTGTTCACCAGGCTTTTTCAGTTAGTTTAGTCAGACTCCAGCAAACAGGGAACATTTTGAAGGAGGATTTCATTTGCTGTGGTTGGGTCCAGGTACTGCTGCAGAGGCAGAGATAGGGTAAAGGCTGACATTGACGGAAAGGCAGTGAAACGGGCACACACAGGGCCCAGGCCAGGCCTCGTGCTTTTTTTTTTTTTTTTAATCTGCGGTTTTTTGACCAGGGCTGGGTTTGAACCTGCCACCTTCAGCATATGGGGCCGGTGCCCTACTCCTTGAGCCACAGGCGCAGCCCACAGCTCAGGATTCTTGATAGAAAAGGCACCCTCTGAGTGAACAAGAGTGGAAACCAACCCATGGAATTCAGGAACTCATTCCTAAACTGCTCTAGCCAGCCCCGTGTCTCACAGACCAAGGTGACCTGGAGCCAACCCCGGGGTCCCCCAGGCTTCTGTGGATGAGAGATCTGTGCTGACCTGAACCCAAACCTCAAAAAAGAAAAAGAAAAGTCCGTTGTTTGTGGGCTTTGCTCCATTGGAGCACTGAGCTCACCTGACGACAGCTTTGTAGTCGGCAATTTCTACGCATTTTTGCACACCTATGTGACCGTGAGTCATTTGTGCGATCAAACAGGCCTGACAAGGACATTTTCAGCTATTCTTTTAGCTTTGCGTTCAGAGAGAACCATCAGCATATCCGCTCCATGGGAGGCTTGTCCACATAGCTGCCGCTGCTGCTGACAACATGGTCACTCCCTACTCAGTGCAAGCATCTCACTTAGCAGAGTCCTAGTTCTGGGGTCAGAATCTCAGTCTTGGGGAGAGTGACCTCAATGTGGGGATTTTACTGTATCTCAAGAAAAATACTTTCTCTATGCAAATCTTTCCAGACAGGTCTACACAGGTGGGATAAAAGAAACGTAATTTCAAAACTATTTTTTAAGTAACTATTGCTTAAAGTGCTCTAAAACCTGGTAAGAACTGATATCTGAACCCAGGCAGTTGTGTGAACTTCAGCTGGAACAGGCCAGATGGCAGGGATATAGGCTACTGCTGTGACTTTGAAGTTGGACTGGATTACACTGTCACGGTTTTAGAAAGTTGAGGAAATCTGATGACTTTTTAGGAACAGTCCCTGATTATAATTCGCCATGTTAATAAAATAGCTATAGTGGTAGTATAAAGGCCGAACTCTTCTTTCCTCTTAAAAAGGAATATTAAAATTAGCAAAACCCCATCGTTACTAATGTATTTAACAAGCCAAAACTCACAGTGATACTCAATGGTATTTGAACTTATAAAAATGAAATAGATGGTGCCAGATCTTTCCATTCCCCCAAATGAGGGTAAATTTCCAAAACTAAAATAAAATCAAGTCCTATGTTTGCAGTCTGGCGAGAACCTATCCATCGAAAGCTCAGTATTCATGGTTAGCAACAGAGATCAACAGAGAGAAATGTTTACACTTTGGAAGTGCTTTAATAATACAAACAGATCAACAGTACAGCTACATACTGGAGTCAAAAGAAAGGGAAGAGAGTTTCGTTTTTATTTCATGTGCATTAGTGCTGAGAAAATCAAAGGATTCGAAGTCTGTGAAAGTGCCTAGTGAATGCACCAACTGTGACCACTCTGTTTCGGGGCGACCCTCAGTTCTTCACTTTGGCAGTGCACCTCCACAGCCCCTGTGCAGTCCTGGTCCTCCCACACACATGTGTGCTGCAGTGGCCAAGCGAAACTTCCACCCGTGAGCCAAAACTCTGTCCTGCTCTCTCTGAGTGGCTTTTAAGGATCTGTGGCTCTGCAGAGGCACAGGCCAGGAGGAGATGAATGCAATTGCTCTCTGGCAGGGGAGGGGGCTGTGTCAGGGAATTATTTCATTATTTCTCTAATCTACCTCTTCCTGTTTCCTTCGGAGGTTAATGGCCATCTACATGGGAATACCTTGGATGCTCTGCTTGCACTGACCACTATGTTAGCCTCTCTTCTGGGCTGTCTGCTTTGCTCCCTTTATCCAAAATTCTGGGAGCTGGGAGGACCCTTTGCCAGAAAAGGTCACTTATACAGTACAGGGGGCTTTAAGAACATTGCTTTTTCATTTCAAATGAGTCAGATGACTAATAATTTACAAGATAAAGAAATACACAGTCTTTCCAACCTCATTTCATTTCCAAATGGCACATTTTTCATTTTGAGTCTCTGATCAGTGGATTCTAAGAGCTCTGAATTCCAACTGCTCCTCTCGCATCCGAGAGCCCCTCCCCCACCCAAGTGCCCCTCCCCCATCCTAGAGCCCCTCCCCCATTCTCTTTAAATTGCACAATGGCACCTTTATTTTTCTCAGTATCGCTTTGCCCATAAGAATACGTTTTGTGTTGTTTCTTAGTTTTCACTCCCTCTGAGGCGGTCACCTGTCACCTCCAAGCTTCCTGCGTCCCCTTGCCTCCTCTGCACCTGCATCTTTCCCGACTACTTTTAAGCAGACGTGTGAAGTAACTCACTTTCAGTTTTCTTATCTGTAAAATGAGTGCCTACTTCATAAAGTCTTCGTGAGAATCTGAGTAGTGAATACAAACAAAGCAAGCACTGGGAACAGCACACACAGTGCACGCTGACGACTGTGAGGACGAGGACGTGGCTTCTGCCGCAGAGTCTCTTACGGGGACTCAAAATCGGAACTACTACTTTAGAAGTAAATATTGGTAATAATTGTTCAAATGCAAAGTGTATATAGCCTTTGACCCTGTAAATTTACTTTCAGGAATTTAGTCCATAATTACATATTTACATGTGATATATGATCACAAACATGTTTTACTATGGTACTGTTTGAATTAATTAACAAATAATTAAAAGAAGGAAACATGTGGGGAGCGGACGGCTGCATAAATTATTAAGACTATGCAACAGTAACAACGACTGAAGCAGAGGGCGGTGGCTGCGGCTCAAAGGAGTAGGGCGCCAGCCCCATATACCGGAGGCCGCAGGTTCAAATCCAGGCCGGCCAAAAACTGCAAATAAATACATAAAAAAGTAAAAATAAAAAATAAAACACTGAAGCAGAATTACATAATGCTTAAAAACAACAAAACATATTGTTGAGGGGAAAATGCTTTATAACATTGTTTCATATTTCTAGGGAAAAATATGTGTAAATTATACAAAAACATTTCTAGAAATATAAATAAAATTTAATAATGTCTATCTTAGGGCAGTAGAAGGAAAGGAATATTTTTACTTACAAACTTCTATACCATTCACATTTTTACTGTTTCCATAATTGAATAGAAGTTCTAAAGTATTAGGTATTCTGTTAGAGCAAGAGTTTAGCTTTTTCTCATGTTCTGTTTAAGATGAAATGCATGGCGACCCTTCAGCATTTGAGATGTCTCTGTCCTCTGCTACCAGGGCACCCCTCCACCTGCTGTGGCAAATAATTTAAAATATTTCCCTACTAGTTGTCTTCTCTCAGTGGATATTCTGCGCCTAAAATACATTATAACTCCAATATTAACTGCTTATACTGTAAAGAAACCGTGAGTTGGGATAAGATTTATGTACCAAAGCATGCTAAATGTTCTGTTTCCACACTTACGTGTTTAGAAATTTGTGTGACAAATGATTTCTTGGCAGCAGCTGAAGCCTTTCATTGACATAAGTGGACTCAAAACACAGTTATAAAATTAAGTCTTCAAGTAACATTAACTGCTTTTGAAAAGACCACAGGACCCTTTCCTAATAGGATTATTTCCCCAATAATAATATGTAAGTACTGGTAGAGTTTTCCTTTAAGAGGCTCCCTCGTAAAGCCCACAACAGGCCAAGCAGAAGGCTGTAAAGGGAGCGCTCTGCGGCTGTTCACTGACCACAAACCACAGGCCAAAGCAACATCCGTTTGGCCAACTAAAGCCATAAATCTCCACATGTGCTATGATAAATCCACAAGGTTCTTGGATAATATTGGTCAGAAAAGACACGCTCTTTCTCTATCAAGGTTGGCTAAAAATATAGCAATGTATAATAGTACCATCACCTCAAAAATAGTGGAGATATGTTAAGGTTTAACCAAACGCATTTCAACAGCAGAAGAATATTGTTTCTGTATGACATAAAGTAAATTTTATTCTGATCATTTTCATTACAGAGAAAAGGCAACTAATTACTAATAAAAATCTGTTCATTTGCAAAGAAAATGCTTTTAGGAAATTCAAATTAACTGTGATCATGTATAGGATCAAGGAATTGTATCTCTTGCAAATGAACCAAATAGTCACTTTATTGGATTAAATTGTCAATACTATTCTAGATATCATGGCCCCAGCCTCATATGTTAATGAATACATTGCACATTAAATAAATCCACTCTACACCTAGAATTTTTATAGAAAACTAACCAAGAAGGGGCAGACAGGCCAGCATAGTTTATCCATGATGTGTCACATCCAAGAGAACTCGTAGGACAGGCAGTAGGTGCCACTATGAGCCCGGGTCCAAGCAGAGAGGATAGAAGATATAAAAATACTTTACGGAAGTCCTTGCAAATAACTTATGCTAACTCTCCCCTGTGGCTCAATAACGGTATAAGCAGCATCTTCTCGAAGGGTGTCTGTAATGTAGGGTGGAAGGACCTGGAA